TCATTCCTATCTTAAGGCTTAAATCCTCATTTAATCAGAAGTAAAACGAGCACTTCAGTAAGACTAAATGCTTCCATGAACCCAGACTACAGGCTGCTTCTCTGCACTAATAATAAACTTTCTATCCAAATTATCCACCTGTCACCTGGAGATACTAGAGAACTTCCATGTCTAGATTCCAGTTAGGAATCTGGCATACACGACGTATGAAAAGAAACTGAGGACTGGGTTTGTTCATGCACAGGAAAAGGAGGCTTGGGGGAATCTAAATGCTGTCTTTTGCGACCTAATAGTGGCACCCAGAGAAGACAGAGGCAGACTCTTCAGAAGTGCACTGAGATAGACTAACTGGAAACAGATTGTTATTACAAATAAAGAAATTCCAGTTTAATAGTGGGAAACATGTTTTTTCATTCTGATACAGAGCATGTGCCCAGAGGTACCGCTGACATCCTGTTCCTGAAAATGCTCAGAACTGGACAGGATACAACAACAAACCAAGCGCTTGAATGTTAGTGCTTGCAATGCTGCATTGAAATTCTAAAGATAGTTTTAGGATGCCTGGGGACTAGGCAAAGGTTATGGATCATATTAGAGTTCAGACTGTTTAAGCTGAAGACCTGGGTTTAGGGTAATTTAGCAGAAATAGAACAGGGTCTGACCAAGCAAGAACAAATGATTTATTGCTTCTTTTTGCATCTTATGGTCTGCTGGGCTTCAGCCAAGTATGGGGCCATGGTCTGGACTGTAGAATTTGGGCATACTGGGGATACACTAAAACACAGCAAGATTTCCTAAAGTTAGAGTTGTAAGGATATTTTGTTGGCAAAGATGAGGCACTACCCTACAATCAGATTTAACAATGGAGAAGCAAGAAAACATATAGGAGGGCTTTCCAGTGTGGGAAGAGGGAACCAGAAAGCAAATGTCTGTAAGTCTGTCTGGCTCTGTGTGTGTGTATGTTTGGAAATGGAAAGAAGAATCCACAGGAAAGGGGTTCACAGGTGACAGCATTAATACAGAAAAAAAAAAGATATGAAACACTTATCTGTGGTCCAAAAACAGAACTGAAATATTTATATCGACTTAGCTGGCTGATAATGAAAAATCCTTAACAGTGCTGACAAGCTATGGCTACAATTTTAACAGAGGCATTGTAGTAAATCACAGTGATGTTGGCACATATCCCGTCCAGCTGCGCGTCATTCCACTGTGGTAGATGTACTTTTTTTGACCTGAAAGAGGAGCTAATGAGGGGAAAAGCTGTTCTATTAAATAAATCTGCAAGTCTGTCCACTAGAAAACTGGAAGCAGAAAGAAGCATAAAGAATAAAAAAGAACAATTTTGACACACAGGAAATCTGCGGGGAACCATCCTCAAAAATACGTTACCAAGAGAAAAGAGGACATGCATGTTTCAGAAATGCTCAGCTTTTAAAGATGTGCATACCTTACTGAAGGAGAAGACTGGGATAATGGGTTTCATCCACTTGGGGACCTGGGGGTAGTCTCTCACATTAATCACCATTTCCATGTCAGGGAGGCGGTTGATGATCTCATGAATGAAATGCTCAACTCCACTGCATCTGTGGAGAAATGACACATCTCACAAAGAGCCATAAGGAGAAGGAAGAATCCTTGAGTGTCTTGCAGGTATCTCTGTGCATCTCAGGAGCAGTAGAAACAGAAAGCCTGAGCCATACCACAGTGCAGGCTGGAACTGCCCATAGCAGCCTTTAAGCTCCAGTACAGTACAGACACATGTGTAGCAACACATCCTGTTAAACCTGACTTGATCTGCATCTTTCTCTGGGATCCCACAGTCAACTAGCACTCTTATACAGAAGTGCAACAATGACACATCTTGCCTACATTCAGTCCTCAGATATAATTTCCTAGGCTCCTGTCCTGATAAGGAATTGAGACCTTGAAAAGACATACCATTATGCTCAGTGACTTGCAACTTGGCAGGGTTGGAAGTACTGGAAGTATTCTCATGTCCCAGGTACGGAGACAGGATCTTCTGCGTGGCTCTTACCTTGCAGGGAACATGCAGTCATGTTCACGGTACAGCTTGTTCTTAATGATTTGGTAGTGCGTGCCGAGCTTCCGGCTCACCGCGTCTGATATTGCCTCTTTGGAAATGCCACTTCGAAAAGGAGCCAGGTCCTGTTTCCAGACACTGAAACAAAACACTTAGCCATCATTAGGTACATCAAGGGGATGCTGCACATTAAGTTACTGCAGCATTCGCGAGAGGTTTCTAGTTACGACAAGCTCTATGTGGCTTCCAGTTCTGCTACACATGGCAGAACAGGATTCAACTCAAGTCACTTGAAACAGCCACTACTCTGAGACTCCAAAGTCCCAGCTTTGCTCTATGATGATCTATGTGCTGTTTGCCTGAACAGAAAGCACTGGACTTTCAAACTAAATCAATGTGATTCACTGTAGTCATTCTTCCAAAAACCAAACGGGCCTTAAAGACCCTGACAGATTATGGACAAATGCTGAAAGCCTTTCAGTTCACTTAAATTTTAGAGTTCTGAAGCTTGTGTTCTGGATTTCCAACAATGATGGGCCACACCAAGGCCAAATTCCTCACTAAATGTTATGCACTTACATTATGAAAAAGGAAGTAATAGTCTAGTCACAAGGATTACTGGGTAATGCTGCATACAAAGAAAGCTAGTCCAGGAGAACAAGCCTATGTAGAGTGTATTCTGTGATATCTGCATGTCATTGGTGAGCTCCTAGAGTGCACTATGAAAATATAAACCTAACCAATATGTCAAAATACAGACACAGAATGCAGTTTATATACAGTCTAAAGGCCCCCACATCCAACTGCTTGGAGCGGCTAACAATTGTTCTCAGACTGTAACAGTCAAGGAGAGTTCCCCTCTACTTTTTAGTAGGATACTGCATCAATGGCTTGGTTTAATGCAACACTGCACAGACCCATCTGAAAGGCTTGAATCAAACAGGAGGGTGATCAAACACTGGCAAAGACTGCCCAGAGAGGTTGTGGGGTCTCTGGTCTGATTAGACCTGCCCTGTCCGTTTGCTCTAGGTGGCCCCGCTGGAACAGGGAGGTTGGACTTCCTGATCTCAAAAGGTTCCCTCCTACTTCAATGATTCTGTTATTCTGTATCAGACAGAAAAATGTAAACTACATAAAGAATTGTTACAGGCCTACAAAGTATATAAGCAGGGATGAAATGTAACAAGCTGGAGAACAGGAAAAAAGTTGAAGAGTTTTATAGTGCTTGGCCACCCAGACAGTGTAAATTTGACACAAGTAGAATCTGTTATCTAAGGAAAAGGATTGACTTTCACTGTTCTGCTGCACATTTGCATATCTCCAGATCAGCTATCAAAATGAACAGAATTTCTTAGTGTCATACAGTGTAAGTACTGTATTATCTTTCTGGATTCTTTAGTAATGCCTGTCACTGTAGAATACAAGTGTTCCCTAGCAAGTACCACACAGCATCATGCCAAAAGAATATGTGATCTGTAATGATCCTTAAACTATTTTAAAATATTTTGCAAGCACTTATTTCCTTCAATTTTATAAGTCCATCAGAAAAACTTGTTAACATTGTACCAGAGAGAGATTGCAGAGTGAATTTCCAATACAGAAATATCACCAGCTGTGTATGGAATTATTGTGTGATTATGTATGAGATGCTGATTCAGTTTATGTTGTTCAGTGACAGAGGACTACAAGGATGGTGGTCAATCTGCGGGTGGACACAACTTGTGCTGAAACTATGGAAGTTTCACACAAAGCCATTAACAAACTCCTTCTCGTATGGCTACAGATGTGCTACATTAGAGCCCAAATATTCTACAACTAACTCCTATCCATCAGTGCGATAAGTGCTGCGATCATGGCCATAATCCTGTCCAGTAAAAAGGAAACCAATCTCTTACCTTTGGTGGCAGCTACAATTCTCCTTTACACATGGCTTATAGACTTCTACAGCTCTGTTAATTTGATCAGTTATTGTTTTCCACTTGGCATCTAAAATACACAGAAAAGGCAAAGGGGTTAATTTGTTGAACAACCAGAGCAACCAGCAGAAGCTGAGCAGCACTTCTGCTCCAGCTGGCAGCAGGGCAATAGCAAGGCACCACGATCCTGGGGCACACTTCAGCCCGCACAGCTGAACTAGAGTGTGCCTGACACTGCCCCTGCCCCTGCTGGTGGAGTCCTGACCCTTCAGCCCACTGACACTGCCTGCTGAGCAGTGGCATCGGTTCCTTTAGCACAGCCTTGCTGCCTGCAGGCTGTGTAACCAAACTGCCTGAGTGCACATTAGAGAACCACAACTGTTGTGTTTGAGGTAGCTGCATCCCGTAACTACAAGGAACTGCTGGACTTTCCCCTGATCTCTGAAATGACTTTCTTGCTACAGTTAAGTGATGAAGGCAGAGAGAAAGAACAAATTCCAGTTTTCCCCAGCTGACAGATGGGAGGCATTCACATCGCTACCTCTGTACGCGCGAGGGGATGCACTGGCAGTGAGGAGATGACATCCTTCACCGGAGCACGCTGCCCACCGCCAACAGAGGAAAGGGGAGGGAAGGCCGGGGACCCAGCGGTGCCCACCGCCAGGCCACCAGATGCGGGTTGAGGGGGCGCTGGGACTGGCAGCCCCTCCCTATAAAAGGCAACCGGCCCCTTCCCTGCCTTCAGGGCGCGTGCTGCTCCCTACCACCCGTATGCACCGGCGGCTGCATCCCCAGCCCGGCCGCACCAGGCCACGACTCCCCTCCCTCGCTCACCTGCTGCCCCCCCCGCTGCCGCTCCCGAAGGCCATACGGCAGCGGCGGCCACCACCATCCACAGCGCCAGCGCTCCCCGCCCCATGCCGCTACCTGCGCTCCCCGCCGCCGGGGGGCGGTGACTCCCTAAGCAAAGATGGCGGCGGCCGCCGGCCCCATAAACATGGCGGCGGGAAGCGAGGGCTGCGTGCTGCGGCGCGGCTTGATGGGAGCTGTAGTTCCCGCCGCACCTCTAAAAAGGCTGGGCATAGGCAGACGCTGTCCTGTGGGATCATTTGATTGCTGCTTCTTCTCAAGGTAGAGTGCGGAAAAGCCTGTCTGCTTTTCGTGTGGTCTGTGTATAAAGATGTGATCTTTAAGCTGTCTTTCCTAGTACAGATCTGCTTTTGCTGCTCTTGGATCTGAGGGAAAGGTGCTGTGGCCTCGTGGTCATTGGGAGAAGCCGTTACATTTAGAGACGTAGAGCTGTTGGATTGAGTTCAGACGAGAGAAAAGTAGTATTTTCTAACGTCTAGCCTGAATCTCCCCTGGTGCAGCTTGAAGCCATTCCCTCTAGTTCTACCACTAGTTATGAGAGAAGAGGCCGACCAGCTCACCACAACCTCCCTTCAGGAAGTTATAGAGAGCAATAAGGTCTCCCCTGAGCCTCCCCTTCTCCAGACTGAACAATCCCAGCTCTGTCAGCAGCTCCTCATAAGCCCTGTGCTCCAGACCTCTCACCAGCTTTGTCGCCCTTCTTTGAACCCACTCCAGGGCCTCAATAATTGAATGATTATACATTCAATATTATGAATATTATACAATTACATTGTATGATTACACTTAAATTAAGCTGGTATCTATAGTGTAAAGGCTGAGTGATTAGCCATACGAGCCAACACCTAAACTTATTATAACGGCCTCATCTGCATGAGACCGAAATGGTTGTAGGTATGTGTAGGTTAGACTGAAGAAATAGTTACCTAACAGCAAGCCAATTGTGAAAAGTATATGCTGAGGAGGAGTGTGAAGGTTTCTGAAGGATTGATAAATTGTGGAGACTAGTAGTTCTTCTGAATATCGTAGAGCTGATAAACTTAGGCGCTATGTGCAGATTGAATCTGTGGAAAGCTAGAAGTAAATGCTAATATCAGCAGTGAATTTTGTGACTGGAGGGCAGGGGTTTCTGTGTACAAAGAGGCTTATGTGTGCAACCCTTGAAATAAATTACTTTGAAGGGCTTTTTGTACACCTAATTTGAAGCTGTTAGGGTCAGCGCAACTTTCTGAATGTACAGCTGGAGTTGTCCTCCAACTGAACTACAAGAGATTGAGTGAATGATGCATTATCTGCTACTGGTAGTAACAGCTTCCTATGATGAAGAGCCTGAGTAACTCTGCCTCATCCCAAGCTCATGTTGTGTGGGCAGAGTATTTTTGAACAGATCAGGAAATTAATCACTTCTTTCCAGTTTCTGCCAGAGACCTTCTGTATTCCTTCCCTGTGTAGCATCTCTTTCCATTTTCTTCCACTGACCCTTATACAGCTGTGGTTGTCGCACATCCATGCTAGAGGCTAGTTCGAAGATTCCCCCAAAAAGTGAACAAAAAGGTAGCTTAAAGAAAAACTACTGATACTTAAATATATACATCCAATGGTCTCATTCAGTTTTAGACATTTCTACAAAAGCTAACTTGCCCATTTTTTTCCTAGCATTGCTTTCCATCTCCTTCAGGTTCCAGATCAAATTTTCTTCCTTCTTTCCCAGCTTGCTGAATAGAGTCGTTAGCGTTGTTGTTCCAACACTGTTTCTGGCTGTATCTTTCAGCTCCCTACTAGTCTGTTACACAGCTGGTAGAACTGTTGTAGTTTGCTCAGTAGCAAAGGTTATTTTGGGTGCTTTCTCTGAGGCAAAGAGTAGGAGTGGTAGTCAACATAAATGTTTAATAGGTCCTGAGAGTTAAGACTTCAAGATGAAGCTCCTTTTGAAGCTACATTTACAGTCTCTGCTCTCCCAGGCTTTGTGTAATGAAAGCACCTCAGGCCAATGTGGTGTGGTTTTGGCATGCGCTGTAGTTTCCCCCAAGCACCTTGGATGGTTGTAGGCCTTAGAACCCCTTGACTCTCACTTCAAACACACCCTTTGCCTCACCTTCTCTACCTTCTTAATTTCCTATAAGTCCAGAGCTCTGTGAAGGAGCATCTGGCTCTGATCTTTGATACCTTCCCTCAATCACATTCCCTCCCTCAGTTTTTCTCTGCCAAATCAAGTGCAAACACCCACAAATTTACTTTCATCATGTTCCATGTGCCTGGAGTGGAAAACCACTTGGCTGTAAGTCTGGTGTCCTTGCTTTACATATTCAGCATAGGTTAAAAGAAGGGTGCTTGGGAAAGGAATAGTTCTCTAAGTTGGTTATAAGCCTGATCTAAAGAAAATGCTTTCTAGATCTTGAATTTTTCTCAAAGCCATAATCTGGCTCTTCTACTTGCTACTGTTTACTTGTGCAAGGGAGGATTTTCTCCTTCATTCTTTCATGCTAAATGAAAGTACTAGGTTCTGTGAATTCTTTGGATGTTGGTGAATTTTTCTTACTGGTCCTATTGCACTTGCTGTCTCTGTGCTTTTGAGGTGGCACAGTGCTACCAAAGCTCATAAGTTGAGCCAGACTCCATCACTGCCTCCTCTTAAAACTTGGAGGTTTTTTTTCTTCCTTCTTCTTCTCCCATGTTATCAAGACGGTGTGCTGTAAGAGGATCATTGTGCCTCAGCATATGGGCCTAGTCCCTTTACAAGATTCATTCAGTAGCTGACTGGAATTGGCTGTCTTATATACCAGTTTATGCTGCCTTGCAAGCAGTTAGCATGCAGCTGTGGAACAGAGAGTTTTTTCATTAGTGCTAGCACTCTACACAGGATAAAGACTAGGACAGTGCTGCAAGTGAAGGCTGATCCTACCTACACTAGAGGAACTAGAGAAAATTTATGTGCAGATTAAAAAAAGAAAAAAGGGTTCTAGTAAAAGGGGAAATACCCAGAAATGAAGTTTTCAATAAGTGTGAGGTAGCTATTATGACTGTTTCTGTAAATTATACTTTTGGTCATCAGTGAGTCTAGTCAAGTTCAAGAGTGCTAGTCTCAGCGGAGGGAGGAACGAAGCTCTATAGTGGCTGAGGTTCAACACTTGTGGTTGACATTACTGAGACTTGTGGGTCTGGGCCCAGGCTTTCCCTCAGTAAGGAACATGACTTTTAAGGAGCTACTCATGAAGCTTATTTTTTCTCTGGCTCTAAGCTGTGTCCTCGAACACTGCACCTTGTGGAAGTGTTGGACTCTCACTGGTATGGATCAGGAAATCTGGTTGCATTCAGTACCTGGCTTGGGGATGTTTGCTATTGAATATTCTGTTGCTTTATGCAAAGGATGCTAATGACAGCAGTTGGAGCACTGCATGAGAAACATCACACCAGAATGAGAACCGGTAAAGGCTAGAGACTTCAACCTAAGACTGAAAAATGCTCTTGTAATTCTGCAGGTCATGTGGAGCTACTGCATTGGGCAAAACAACTGCAGGAGAACTCGGAGTTCAGTCCGGATGAAATCCTGAATCTGCCAGAAAAGTGAGTCATTAATTCAGCCCTCAGCTAGCCAAGGGATTAAGTCACCCCTGCATTGAACAACCAACAGAAAGATGTACAGACCTGTGATGGTAAATCTGGTAGATTCAGCAGGTACTGGGTCCCTTGCTTCATCAAGGGGATGCATTCAATATTGTACCACTTGCCTTTGCAGTTGCATCCTATGGCACCGATATGAACTAAAATTGACCGAATTCCTGTGGAAAAGGCCTTGGCACTAGGCCATGGCTGTAAAGGCTTTTTAAGACCTGTTTGAGAGGCCACGTTAACTAAAGCTGATCGTAAATCACTTCTTGCCATTGCCAGTGGGGATCTGGAAAACACCTTGCTGCAAACAGAATGCCTCTTTCTTTAGTTGTATAACTTACAAATTGAATGCGAACTTCAGAAAGATTTAGTATTTGCAGGCACGCTCTCTAGAGCCTTTGACAAAAATGCTGTGGAACAAAGTCCCAAGCTAGATTATGTATATGTCAATTGAGGAAAACAAAACAAAACAAAAAAAACCCCAGCCCTGTTGGTTCTCAAATGAAATGCAGACTTTTTTTTTTTCCTAGCAGTTTGCTGAGGACGAGACACTGCAGGATATAATTAAGGTTCTGGTAGAAAATGATTTGCACAGCCTATTCAGCCTCTGTTTCAGTTTAAAACGATTTAGATACCACTTCTTTGAGGCATGAAGAAAACCAATCCCATTGCAGGAGAATAATTTAAAGATATAGAAAGCTATTTAGAGCCTGAAGGTGGTATGAGCTGTTTCAAACTGTCACAGTCAGAAAAAGCAGGTGATATTACAGGGAGGAATGTATGCTAGTGGAAAGCACTCACCCTCCAGAAGGAAGTTAACTTTGGCTTGCATCAGCTTGATATGGGAGTCCTCTGGAGCCATTTTCATATCAGTAGGCAGCCATTACTGGAAAGCACTATAGCATCATAAGGAGCAATACTCTACTATCTTCTTACTAGACGTTTTATATACGTGTGTGTGTGTGTGTATGTCTCGATGAACAACAGTCTAGTGAGTAAGAACAGTTCAGTACAAGCTTAAGTTCATTGCAGCTGGTTCCCAGTGCCTACATCTGCCTCACTAGTGGGAAGTAATGTCAAAATATCACCAGAAAGGGAGCAGTGTCCATCTACTACATGTCTGGCACTGCTCAGTTGCAGTCAATTGTCACACCTGTGTTAGCAGAGACTGATAAAATCTGTGTGGGTTTGGTGAGATAAGTAAACAAGGTTGAACAAAAACTTAATGTGGTTTTGCAGCCAGGGACCGGTAATGTTTCACAAATGGTATATGTGCATAGTAACAGCAAGAAACAACAGAAAAGGCATGCACTGGGAAGGCTTCATGATCACTCTAGATAGTTGTTGCAGGCACTGCTGTAGAGAAAATAGATTCATGTTTTCCAAATTTCAGAGGGCAGTGGGAGGGTGTAAATTGCAAATACATGGTGATAGTTGTAGGTGGTAGCTGTATCAGAGTGGCTGCCAGAAGCAAGCTTTCTGCTAACTAACCACACTATAAGTTGTCCAGAGGATGCAGCCAACAGCACAGGGCACCTGAGACAAAGCTGTTGATTAGGGAGTACAATGCTTGCATGTACTTGACCCTGGCCATTAGCTAAGCGTGGCTGAATGCAGCTCCCCAAGGAAGCTTGGGGAAGCCTGGGGAACCTTTGCCTTTTGGAAGTTCTCCCAGGAGGTGCTGTGGTGCAGGGGTTTGTGCTGAACAGCACTGATGAGCTAGAAATCAGATCACAGTTCATAGGAAGCTCTTTAGGGTTCTTGGCTTGGAGTGACTTCTTAACAGCACGGAATATGGAACTTCTTGCACGTTAGTTCAACAGACAACAAACAGCAGGTTCTTGCTCAAGGTGCTGCATTCAGGAAGGGCTTTAGCTCTTCCAAAGGTCTCAGCACTTGTCACCACCAGCACCATTACTTTGGCTGCTTTGTTTCTCGAAAATCGCTGTCACTGGAGGATTCTTAGATGTTTAACTCCATACATGTTAATTCATTCCAATTATTAAATCACTGAAGCATTGAACTGTAACAGAGTAGCTCTGTTCCAACCACTTTTCTTTTTTTTCAGAGCTGCAATATAGAAATAGTGCTTTTCTGTATCTTAACACTGAGTGTAATAGGATTTCCTTCTGTTAATAAACTGAAGCATTAAGTTTCTAATTTAGGGATGGGATAAAATGAGTTGCACTGTGATTTCTAATCATGGCAGAACTCTTCTAATGTGCATGCATTTGGTGTTTGTCTTATAAAAATGGTCTCTTAACAATGCCCATTGCAGTTAATTTGTAACTACATAGTGTAAACATTGATTTCCAAAGTTTTTTTAATAGATCCCTGTGCTACTTAATTATCACTAACTGACCCTTGTTTTTTTAACGGTAGTTAGTTTTGTTTCCTCAAGCTTTGTAAGAAATGAGTCTTAAATGGCAGTAGATGTCCAACCTCTTATTTTGAATCTTACAGGTCAGGAAGGTGCCCAAAGTATTACTGGGTCATTTCTTCACAGAAGGATCTTCCCAGCTCACTGATGCTCTTCTTAGTTTAACGTCTATAATATTCTTTCTGGTTCACCCAAAAGTTGTATTAAAGTCAAGTTGTATTAAAGTCAAATCAGAATTTCTTCAGGGCTTAAAAAAACCTGTTGTCTCGCTAAAGCCTCTTGCTTGTGGTAGGTTTTTTAGAGGTCTGGCACACCTTTTTGTCTATGAACCAGCTGAATTTTTCCGTAGCTGCTACAATAGTTGAGGGGAGAGAGCAGTGTGCTTCCTGAGAAAAACTTGCCGTGAGAGAGCTCTTTAGGCTAACTCAGTCCTTGCTGTAGTTCCAATGAGTTCAACAGTGGTCAGAGACTAACTTCACTTTTGGAAATCAAGTCCTCCACTGCAGCTATGTGTCCCGTTGTGCTATTTAAATGGCTGGTGTTCAGGCTGTAAAATCAGAGCATGATGTCTTACTCTGATGTTCTTATAGAAACAGATGGCTAGAGAGCAGCTCAGGGACTTGGCCACCTTGGATGAGCTATTGCCAGCAGGAATGGGGACAGTTGTAGAAAAAGTTGATCAGACTGTGTCTGTTTGTGGAAAAGTAAGAGGTGAGATGTGTCCAGGGGAGATTAGAAAAGAATAATCTTAAAAGGTCATCAGGCACCAGAGATTCCAGAAACTTTCAAGGCCATTGCGGACTGTAAACTCCATTCATTGTTTTTGTTTTGCTGTAGATTAATCACCAATTTGTAGCTGGTGATACAAGCCCTTGGACTATCCACTATACTGCCTGTGCTGCAAGAAATAATAGGTGTATTTGATCTGTCAGAGGAAACCTGTATTTAATAAAGGGTAAATAATTAGCAGCTATTGATGATCTGAGAAACGGAAGATGCATGCATCCAAAAGAGATTTTAAACAGTTGGCATAGAGTTCAACAGATGGCTTGTATTCCTCTGCAGCAACCTGAAATAACTTCTTGTAACAGGACTAGACAGAATCTCTTTGGTCTGGGATCCAGGCCCCAAAACCATGTGCTGCAAGCAGCTGTGTTGTGTAGAGTAGCCACAAGACTAAGAAGCACTTGGCTTATTCATCGATGAATCCTGAGCTTGATGACACTGTTGAGTACTGAAATACAGGGACTAGAGAAGTTAGAAGTGGGGGGGTGGAAGAGGGAAGTACTAATTAAAGGAAATGGCATAAAACAGACAAGTTAAAAACGGGTCTTGAGAAGGTGGAAGGTTTGAAAGAGGCTTTTAGTGATCAGAGATTCCAGAGGAACCTTCCAGAAGCAATAGTCATTGGTTGTCTTATTTTCTGTCATCTCAGAGTTAGATCTGTCTTTAAAGGGATACAGAGATGTCTGTCAGCAATGATGAGGCGAGGCTCAGGTGCCCATCGGTCCACAACAGGCAGTGAAACTTCTCTTCTTGTCCAATACACTATTGCTGAAAACTCAGGACTGAAGGACCCACTAAGTTGCCCTTTAGTCCATCCCCCTATCCAAGAGTAGTGGTACTTGCTGTTCTTGACCAACATTTGCCCTGCTCTTAAAGATCAAATGAGCCTCTTAGAGCCTGCTCAGGCTAGTAGGAAGCTGCCTCATTTTTGGGCTTGCTTCCATGGTAAGCTCAAATTCCTTTATTCCAGAGCTGGCACCGTAGCTCCTGTGTAGATAGTCCTACCCCATCTACATTTGAATAGCTGATTTTTCATAAGTAACTGTAGTATTTTGCATGTCTTTTTTTGAATAATATCTTTTATTTTTTTCCCCCCCGGACCTTCACAGATAATCAAAGCTGTTTTGAATACTAATTCTGTTTTCCAGGATATTTGCAGCCCCTCCCAGCAAGGTGCCATCTAAAAATTTAATAAGCTCAGCCTCTATTCCTTCATTATTTTCTTTAATGAAATACTGAATAATACAAGTTCAGAGAGTGTTCTCTACAAAAATCTAGCTTGACACATCTCTCTAGCTTGATGGAGAGCTAGCAGTAACTACGTTGGGTCTGAAATTTTCCCCTTACTGACTTAGTCAAGGTCTGTCAATTTAAGTCTTCTAGAACAGATATAAACACTATAGGAAGCTGGGCAGTTCCTTGAAGGTTTTGTTTGTTTGGGGGAGAAAAAAACAGCTCTCATGATTTACTACTTTTTCCTCTTGAGTCATATAGTGATCTCACACTGATGGTAGCTACTACTTTCAAATGAGCAAGAGGAGTACTTGAAATTTTCAATTAATGATGCCATCTACAATCAGGATTTATGCTAACCTCTAAGTTTTTGGTATCAGGAAGAGCTCTCTGCAGAAAACAGGTTTGAAATGGTTGTGCTGCCATTGAAATGAACCTCAGCAGTCTGCAGAAATGGGCCAACAGGACTCTTGTGAAGTTCAGCAAAGGCAAATGCCAAGCTCTGTCCTTGTACATGAGTAACCCCAAGCTACCAGTATAGACAAGGGACCAAGAGGCTGGAAAGCAGCTTTGCAGACAAGGGTCTGGAGGTTTCAGTGGACGCCAAGCTAAACATGTGAGCAAGCAATCATATGGATCTTATGAATGAGTATGTATACTTGATGAGGGAGAAGAAAGAAGACAAAGCCAAAACTTGTGGTATACAAAGAAGACAAATACACTTGTGGTATGCAGTGAAAAGGCAAAAGGCAACGGGCACAAGCTGAAATGCAGGAAATTCCTTCTTAACATAAGAAAACACTTTTATACTGTGTTGAATGTTGGAAGGGGGATGGAGTCTACATCTACGAAGATTAAAAAATCTGGCTGGATACAGCTCTGAGCAGCCTGCTCTTGTAGGCTCTGGCTGTAGTTGAACTACACAGTTTTCAGAGGTTCTCTTCCACCTCCCATGATTTAGTGATCTTTGGGCACGCTATTGCATGTTCTTCAGGAGCATCCACGCGCACTATTAGAAACAGGGTACTGACTTCATTTGCTGTTTGTACAGAAGCATAAAGGAAGAATCCCTTTTGGTGCAAGGGAATGGGAGAAAGGTGCCTGTTCCCTCTCTCCCTCTCACTTAACAGAAACACATTGGTATGCTAACTGGTGGCAAATTAGTATTTTACACACAGTTGACTCTGGAAGGGCCAAAGGATGCGCGAAAGAAAGCCCCATGTGCTGTAAGCTTAGGCCTTTCTTTATGTATAGGCTTGGGTATATAATTAAGAATGCTCTCACTCAGATATGGACTTTATCCTGCCTGTACTGTTAATGTTTTCCTATTATCACCTTCATCTCTTTTTAATTATGAGAATAGATGGATATGTAAATCATTCTTACTCTGACCTAACGAAGAAGCAATTGCTTTCTTTTTTTCCTATGCTGGCAGAGGATACAGATGAAGTAGGTGCCTCAAGCTGCAGGCCTGAGCACAGGGTAAGCCATTAATTTCAAATTATGTGTTTGGAAAAACAGTGGAGAGGAGCTGCTAAGCTGCTGCCAGGAAAGGTGGTGGGAAAAGCTGGGAATGTGGCCTTAAGGGGGGAAAAGAGTGCTTGTTGCAAAGGTGGACTTAGATATCTATAGTGGGGAAATTGCCTGTGCCTCACTGCAGTGTTTATGGAAACAGAACTTAAAAGACATCTGTATATCAAGAAACACTTGTACTATTTTATTCTCCATGAAGAAATACACTAGTAGTGTCTCAAAAGCTAAGCAGTGAGGAAGCATCTTACTGGATCTTTCTTTTTTTCTTTATGTAAAGTCTAAGTAGTGTTTCCATACTGCTACTCTGTCACAAAGCTGTGGTGGTCCAATCTTTCTTGACCAATGTCCAGTAATTCTTGACTAAATGTGGGGACTGGCCTGTTTGGATATAAAGATGCAGTGTGAGGGGAAAGTAACAAAAGAACACTTTGTTACTGCGTCTGGGTCCCTTCTAAAGTCTTCGAATGACCTATGATCAGGAGCTGACCGTGAATCCAGACGACTTGAACTGGAGCTGCAGTGTTCTGCCATGGTGCTGGTATCAACAAGTTCTGTCTCTGAAGTGCCACTGTCTGTGGAGCTTAACTGGTTTGTCACGAGCGCTTTGTCAGCAGAATCCAAGCTGCTGTGACAAGTTACCTGCCACAATGCCACATGGACAATACGATGTACTCTTTGGCAGAGCTAGCTCCCAAGCTCTCTAACTCAGTTCTGTCATCTTCATAGGACCTCTGTGGTAGGAAAAAAAAAAAAAAAAAAAAAGGCCTGCAGGTCAGGGTGAGGTTTCTGGATCTTCTGCTGTTATCCCAGATCTGAGACTCCAGGAAGAAGGAAGAATTTCTCCTTCCTGGAACAGTTTCTCATTAGCCCTAGTTTCAAGCAAACAGTCTTCAGATGATCTACTATCCTTCAGTGAGACAACGCTATCTTAAATGTGCACCTCTTGAGGCAGTGTGCCTTGTACCCTAGTCCCTCCTTTTCCCTGAAGGAAAGAAGCGTGTATTTATGGGTTTATCTAGACAGTGTTGTATCCATGTGGAGTAGCACACACAGAAACTTTGAAATGTGCCAGACTGCCTGCCTTTTTTCTTCAAGCCTTAGGGTGTTTCTGATTTGTTCTGCACTGTGCCCTCCTAGAAAGGAGAAGTATTGTGTTGCTTAAGTGGCAGCCTTGGGCAAGATGTGGTATGTGATTTCTCACCAGCTCCGGGGTTAAGTGCCAGCATCAGGGTACTTTGCCTTCCTCTCCTCTCCTGTCTTCCTTTTCCTCTCAAGAGGTAGGAAGAAAATGTTGCCCCTGTTGTTAACCCGCATCCACTCAGGACAACTGGGGCTTTTGCCTCTGTCCTAGGAGAAGTGGAAGCAGCCCCTGCTGCTGGAGTGTCTTCATCTGCAGCCCTGCTGAGGTGCCCCTCCTGCGGCTGAAGTGTAAATCCCAGTAGGTCTTTCAACCACCCTTCTCATACTACTTGAAAAATAACTTTCCGTTGTCATTAACGCTGATCTATAGCTGCATTAATGTGTGAAATCACTGGGTGTGAAAATAGTGTACTAACTGCTACTTAATGTAATATTACCACAGTAATGTCTCTAAAAATATCTTGTCCACTTGATTGCTTTCATTGTGAACTAGAGATAATGTACCACTTACAGCTGATGATTAAAATTCATAAAGCTGTGGTTCTTAATTACAGCAACTCGCAATCAAAGTGAAATGTCAGATCATGAATGCTGTTTATCTGTATACAAATTCACAAAAACAAGAAAATATAAGGACCGTCTACACAACAAAGCTGAGCTGCTTTGGCTTAAGGTTAAGTAAAATAAATACCCATCAGACTATTTATTGAGACAGGTTGGTGAGCGTGAGATCTTTGACGTGGTGGAGCTCATCTCTTATGAAGTGTACATTTTCACATTTGAATAGTGAAATAAGAAAAGAAATTTGGAAAATTTCTGGTAAAGATGGAAGTGTAAGCTTGGTAGAAAACTTTATATGCATGGAAGTAACTAAAAAAAAAATTAAAAATTTTTGCAAAAATTTGCTAAGAATGGAGATCTTGCAATTTGGGTTCAAGGTTAAACCTAAGAGGAGAGGCTCCATAGGAGGCAAGTGAAAGAGGTGGATTCCCACTACCTTGGGGAATTATGATAGTCGTTGGCAGGAGAGGGTAGTAGAATCCTTGGCTTCAGATATTTACTATAATCACATGCTTGGCCACAAGTGACACCATAGAAAACATTACATTATTCTACGTGCCCTTAGCTGCATATTTCCAGGGCTGTTGTATTGCAGTTTTTTAAGTTAATGCCAAGCTCAGAGTGTTTACAGCGTTCTTGGATGCATCCTACCATAGATTTACTAACACACTCTCAGCTCTTTGTCAACAGTTTCACCCCCACCCCCCTTTTCTTTTTTTCTGGTATGTAAGAATGTAAGATCCACGCATAACTGAGCGTGGAAACAACAGTTCTATTCCATTTATAGTCTTACAGGCTTCCTTCATTTGTCGTATCTGCCCCATGTCAGTCTTTAAAAATCCAAACCAGAGGGAGCCAATTTCTCAAAACATCAGTGAAACAAAATAACGTTAGAACAATAGGATCCCTTCTTTTATGAAATTAAATCTGACTAGCTCCATTTCTTTCTTTTGATTAAATGTCACTTTAAAGGAGCTCTGGCCTGTAGTTTGGAAAACTTCATGACTTTTTGTTCTACAGGGTGTTCCCGGTGTCTACAAATTCATGTTTTCACATCTCTTTTTTTGCCGATAAACAGCAACAACAAAAGATATTAGCCATTGTATGAATGAGGAGTCAAATCTTGACAATTGTATGGAATTCTCTAGGCTTTTCATGCCACCTGTCCTTCCAGTGTTATTCTTTCTGCTTTTTTTTCCTCTTTGCCATCACTGCCAAGATGACTGAAAGTGTTCATTGTAGAGTGGATCCAGTTACCCCAAGAGTTATTCCCTTGGCACTTTGTCTTGAAGATGTTTGCTATTTGTCTGCCTCTGTTCCATCTATGCTAGTTAACATTTTTGAAAAAGGAAAACCATTTCCTATGCTGGGTGCATCATGCAGCTCTGTTTCACTATTATCCTGGTATGGAATTCTGTCCAGCTGTCTGTCGAGGCTTACGTTGATTTTTGTAGCTCCCTGTTGGTGTTCATACTACTTATGTACCACGAATAACTGGATGGCTAGTTTGCAGTGGGGAGGATTTATATGGCTGTTTGGTGTGGTGGATTCCTTGGTACACATTCTCCCTAGTGAAGCTTTAAGCCTTAGACATCACCAGTTCCAAACAGCTTGGTACTTCTGGGATGTCCTGCTGTTATTGAAGCTCTCCTGACTGGAGATCTACTGCAGCAAAAAGCAGCTCCTCATGTAGAACATGAATTAAGTAGACAGAGCCTGTTCCTTATGGGTTTCCAAATCTGCTTTGTCTGTGATACAGAAGATATGTTCACTCACCAGTGGAAGAGAAACTTCTGCGCAATTCAGAGCAAACCAATTCACCTTCCTTCCTCACTTCTTCCCTCTTGTGACTTCAGGTGAAGCCTTTGCCTGAGGCGTGGTATGAGCTGCTGGGATGTTAGCTTTGTAGCAGCTTGTCCTCAAAAGTTCTCTCACTGAGTTGTGCTCTGACCTTACCCGTGCTTAGCACCTGATCCTTCTTTCAGTCTATGAGGTGTATGTGGCACAGTCCGGGCCATAAAGTAAAATTTTTCATGCTGGAAAATATGCTGTCATGTTCCTCCCCTGAACATCTCCACCAGAAAATTAGTAGGAAATTCTGTGCTAAGGTTCTGTTCATCTTTGTGTTGCAAGCAACTTGGCCCGTCACATCTCAAGCAATGGTTTTGCAGTGTATTCCTGTAAAATCTCAGACCCATCCTTTAGTGTCAAATGCATCAAGTTTTATGTAAAGTGGCTTGCAGCTGTCTTACTGCATCTGTATGTGCCTCCTGGCCTGCTCCTAAACCTGAATAAAGTAATTTACAGGTAGCTCAGGTATCTCTCCTTTTCATAACAACGTGTACTGTGGACATACCCATTTCTGCTTGCTTCTCAGTCCTGCTTGTGGGGCTACTGACAGTCTAACACATTTCAGTCTTGGGAGTGTGAGGCTGTAAAAGGATGCATTTAGCTAAACTGTGTCTACACTGCGCGTGGAGGTAGGGATGAATGCCTATGCTTTGTGGTGCAGTTGCAGCAGGCAGAATCTGACACCGCAGTAAGAGGTAAGTAGTTGGGAGCTGCCTGGGTTGGAAGAGGCACCCAAGGTTTCCTGAGCAGCCGGAGCCCACTGAGGAATGTGTCCTCAGAGGCTATGTCTGACAGCTATCCCACTCGCGCAAAATGCCCCATGTCAAGGAATTTAATGTGAGCACAGTGGGCCAAGTTTGCACTTTGCCTGTTGCCTCTTCACACTTCCAGAATGCTGCAAAAAGGCCCAAGTGTAAAAAGGAAGCCAGCCCCTTGCAGTCTTGCTTTGTGCCACTGGTAATCCTGCAGGGTCTTGCTGCCATATGCCGCAGGTTGTTTGGGAATGCACTCCTGTGCCTCTCCTGTTAGCCTTTTATTCTGTGTAACAGGTTCAGGGTTTGTGATGACAGCTTTGCACCTAGGGGTAAGATAGTTAATTCAGATTGGGCACCTGTTGTTCCCTCATCCTTTTCTGCTGAGGATAGATCTCCTTTAAATACAGTACTTATTACCTACTCTGAGCAAGTAATCAGACTGTGCAAAGGAGGTGAGGAGGTACAACATTTAAAAACACATGTCCTCCCACTCTCCCTTTTTCTGCAGGATAGGCTGTGTTTGACTTCACACTTGAGGAAGCAGCTGAGAAATTCTTCAGATGTTTAAACATTTCAAACAGTTTGGATATGTGAGTGTCCTAGATTAAAAAACAAATTGCAGCAGTACGAGGGTAACAAAGTGGACCACAAAATGTTTGTGGAAACATTCTCACCCTTCTGTTACCCTGCTATGCATTCTGATGTCAGTAAGGGAGGTGTGGTGGCAATTTTACAGCAGCTGAGAGAGAGATGGGCCATGTTTTCAAAGTAAATTTTTCATCCTTAAAGACGTGCTACACTTGCTTGTTTTCAGCATCTCTTGTATCACAAATGCTTCATTTCTGTGAAAATTTGCCCCTTCCTTTTAATAGTACTTATGTTTCAGGTGACCTGGGCTGGGGGCTGTGACAAATCTAAAAGGGAAAGCTTCCAATGCTGGTAAATGAGGATTTAGTAAGAGGAGAATATATATCATTCCAGAATGCATAGTACTGCTTCTCAGCTTCAGTTTCTCATTTGGCCACATGGCTGTGAATGATTTTTCTTTGTGTGCAGTGAATATAGTGTCTGTGAAGGGTCCTGGTCTGACAGTCCTGGAAAATGAGCCCTGTGTAAGCCCTTGGAGAGGCAAAAGATGCAAACTACAGGCTGTTCTTCTCATCCGGTTTCAATGATGGAAGAGGAAATAGAGTTTATACAAAACCTG